TTATGTCTATTAAAAACAATTGCGGGAAAGTATTTGTATTGGAATTATCCCACATCAGAGAAATTTTGATTCAAAAGATGGAAGAACAAAAGGATTGAGTARATGACRTCATCTACTCCAACATTTTTTGCCCAAATTATTAAGGATTTGCATCAATATTCAAATCTGTTGCTTCATGATTATGACACCCATGTGGATAGGTCTATTTGATTTCCAAATCTTTTCTAATGTTTTGCAATTTTCGTCCAAGTAGCCCTTTAAAGTTCACTCACTTTGCAATATTGCACTTCCACAGATAAGCGTTCCTGATGCAGACAAAATAGAGAGTTGGTTCCATAGAATGACTGTTAAAGATTTACAGCAAGAAGTTCCTCAGGTAACGCAAGACTCTCACAAACTAGGCAACTGAAATATAAACACAAAATTAGGTTTTAAATTCGATCTTTTGCCAGAAGAGATTTATTTAGACATTTACGCCATAAACTGCCTTGAGAAGCCATTTGTTGCTACTGATGATTTTTTTAAATTCATTAAAATCATTAAAATGAAATTGTTCACTTTTTACGTAAATTATGAGCTACACGGAGTATTTTATTTCGTTAAGGACGTTAAGTCACATTCTCGTTTTTATCAGCCTTTTGTAAACTGCCCATGCTGTGACTCCGGGCGTCTAAGTGCATCGTTCTTATTTAAGCTATGTAAGAAGCTGTGTCAATCACAAAAGACAAATTGCTAACAAACGCCTAAATSAAGAAAATGTTTTTTTTCAGTATGATTGGCTTCAACACCTGAATATAATGTTTTCACCCGAAAAGATAAAGGAGACAGAGGAGCTGACAGTGCCGGCGCTGCCCTATCTAAAGAAAATGATGGATGTAGTATCCAGAACACCGAAAAGGTAACAAAGAAGCATCTTTCACACATTGTAGACAATATTCACAGAATCTATCATTGAACACTCGTCTCGTTTCGATGWACGGCTACCTTTCAAGATGGCGTCCGGAACCGTGCAGGAGGCTATTGCTTGGAGTCTTGWCATGCTATGTGTTTTACCTCAGGATTACGATTTTGTTACCAAGATTTTTTTCTGATCCCAGATATAATTCCCATCCTGACGATTCTAACCAATCCAAAAGCCCCTCCCCCCCAAACCCTACTCTTATATGTCGCAAGAATATCCACTGTATTTTCATTATATTAATCAATCGTTATATCAATTGTAGTCAGGGTCATTCTATAATTGAATTGTTGACAGTGTTTTGGCTAATTACCTGATATGGAATGTCATACAAGATGAGGTGTCATTCTTGTCAAAGCCTTACCGTGATGCCCGAACCAAATACAAGGACAGCGTTTTGGGCTCCAAAGGTCAAAAGAAACGTTGGAAGACCTGTGTATCTTACGCAAACGAGCTAACTGGTGATATTGTTGGAGCTGCATTCGTTCGAAAACACTTTGAGAAACATAGCAAAGATATGGTAAGCAGTGAATCACTTAACACTGACTTGAAAAAAAACCCTCCTCTGTAAGCAACTACTTGCATGTTGGCTGGGTTTTTCAGTGTTGAAATGAATAACAATATACTTCAAGAAGTCTTTACATTATTATTCTATATGACATGACCAACTAGTGGTCCCCAAATCTGACTTATAAATATATATGTACCATATGATTTCATTTTTGGGCTTTCAAATCACGATTTCTGTACATTTTTCTCTTCGTTGCTCTTGCTCTGAGATTTGAAGATATCTTACATAATCCACATTTTGCAGTAGATTCTCTGGTGTTCCTGTTTTAGACCGCATGCGTTAGATGTATTCTATGATATTTTTGTTTGTTTTTCTTACAACATTACGAACTCCACGGGTTGATCGAACTTCAAAACAACTATTTATGAAATGCCATGTAGACCTATGTGATGTTATAAGTAATGTTTAAAGGCCGACAATGAGGACTTGACGGGATTTCAAAGTCCGCGCAATTAGTTCCAGTCCGAGGCGCTAGCCGAGGGACTGGAACTAATTGCAAGGACTTTGAAATCCCGTCAAGTCCGAATTGGAGGCCTTTGAACGACTTCAAAAACTCATTAATTATTCGGGAGGGAAAAAAAAGCGAAGGAAATACATATAACAGAAATATATTGATTTATTGCATCTCCATTAAGGTTTTCAGTTTTCATAATTTTGAATGCATGAAGCACCGTTTGTTGTTCTTCAATTCCCGGACGGCTTTCTGAAACAAAAGCTATTCAAATTGTCTTTGTCTGCTATTCATGGCATTCCTAATGAGTCTAATCCATAAGATTTATAAGTATGTTATCTTCCGAGGAATCGCATCAGAAACTCGGTGGCGTAATGGTATAAGACGGCGCATATAGAYTGGACGGTAGGGGATCGAGTCGTGAGGGAGTCATGTATCAAAGACCTTTTTTCACTAAATTAATGTTAAACTGATTATTTCTAATAATTTGATTATCATTAGCTAGTAGTAGTTGGAAACATGGTAGAAGTAACTGGAAATAAGGTAGAAGTAACTGGAAATAATGTAGAAGTAACTTGAAAAAGGTAGAAGTAACTGGAAATAAGGTAGAATACAAGGTACGAGTACTTCCTCTGGTTTCAAGTTACTTCACGTGGTACAAATTACAAACAGGGATTGGYTRRATACCTCATGAATAATTAATGAGTTTTTGAAGTAGCTATTCCGGTACCAATGGTAAATTGTCCTACGTCAGTTTGTCAAATCATGGCAAATCTAAACAAAATAAAACAATGATTTGTGTGAGCTAAAAAAATCTCATTCTCGTCAGGCAAAAGAGATGATCATCGAGGTTCGTGAAGCTTTCAAGCAAAACATCGATGCCATTAAATGGATGGACAAACAAACGAAAATTCGTGTCTCTGAAAAGGTAACTTTCAAGCAAGAACACATGTCTGATCTAAATTCATCAGTTTTATATTGTGCGGCTATTTTTTGAAGATTATGACATTATGTTGTTGTTTTTCTCAGGCTGACGCAATGGCTGACGACGTTGGTTTCCCTGATTATCTTATTAAAAGTGAAAAGTTCAAAAAGAAGTTCAAAAAGTACCATGATGTAAGAATGTGTATATGTAATGACTTTTTTTGATTACATTAAGTGATAAAAGTTGATTTTTTAACATGCTACAATCCTTGGACTTCTGGATCAAAATTAATTCACTTCAGGGATACCAGTCCCTCAAGCGAATTAATTTCGATCTAGTCCAAGGACATAAGTCCTACAATTGAATCAGGATCACCACTAGAGTCCTTGTCGATGTTTGCTTACCAGAATGATCCGGTATAACGGGTTCTCGCAGGATATCTACCACCTGAAAAGGATAATGCCGAAAACACTTTAAACCGGTAGAAATTGTACTATTCAATCAGCTCGCTTCTGGAATTTGAATTCCTTAACTTATTTTCTTTTACAAGAAATACGTCAATTTAGCAATCCAGAACAAAAAGGTCGAAAAAATCCTCGTCGCTCGAAGCCATGTGAACTACAATGCTGACTTTGACCTTCGACTGAACATTATCCCACATTATCTAACCTTGAATTTTGCTGTTACGCTGAGAAACAAACCATTATGTTACTAAATTCCAGATGTAAAGATCAGTCTCAATAAATTTCTCTTCAAGTCTGCAATCATTGCGTGGATTGAAATCCTGCCCAGTCCTCATTCTCAGCTTTGAAATATTACGTCAGATATTGAATTAACACTCTGATTGTTGCCTTTTATTAGGTAAAAATACACAACAACACTCTCTTTGGGAATAGAATGGCTATACTTAAAATGGCACACAATAGAATGTTGCGAAAACTACGCAAACCTGTGGATAAAGAAGAGTAAGTGTGTTTTAATTCAGTACCTCAAAAATTGACTTGGGAAATTGTGGTTGCGCCTTTCTTCTATGAAATGAGATACATTGCTATGCCGTCAAATTCCCCAGAAAAGTAGTAGTAGCAGTAGTAGTAGTAG